TAAAATTATTTAAATTAAATTCGCTTATTCAAACTATTTGAACCACATATTAAATTTATTTAATCATTGATCGTTATTGTATTGATTTCAAAAATCATCAAAATATTATATCAAATTAATAAAATTCAATTGATAAATTCAAAATTTATAATTATTAATATTTATTAATAATAAAATAATAAAACAATTATTAATATAAATCACTTTTATTATTAATAATAAAATATATTTTAATAATAATAATAATAAAATAATATATTAATAATAATAAAATAATAACGAATTGGAGTTAATAAAGTGATAAAGTAGAATCTTTAAATTGTTTTTCGAATTTTAATTCCTCAGACACAGAAATAAATATTTTTAAATATTTTTATATAATTTATTAACTTAACTATAAATTTTAATAATTTCAATTTTCAATTCAAATTAATTTTAGAAATGTATACGATTAAAGTTATGCATATTTAAAAATGCGGATTATTGATACATATTTAATAAAATGAGTCGGTAATATAGGTTTCTATTTTTCTAACATTGCAAATTTTATTTATTTACATTCACTTTACAATGCCTGAAGATTGTTTTAATATTATTAATTCTATATTATGAATACAAAATATATTTCAATAACAAAAATTATCATAAATAATATCATAAAACTTTAAATTTCCAATTATCAATTATCGACAATCCATCGATTCCTGAGATTTATGATTTACCTATTCAGGAAAGAAAATTTTTTTCGTGTGAGGAAACTTTTTTCTATTATTTATTATTTCCTATTTTGAGCATTGACTTCAATTAAACGTTCTAGGATAATGTTATTAAAGAACAATATTATTTTTTAAAATATTTTTAATTTTTGGAATTAAATATTTTTTAAAGCACTTTAGTCCGACTAGAATGCAACGTGACAAGATGATATGTTCCAATTATAACAGTTTCAAGGGCAACCAATATTATTTTATTTTATTTGACGAGATTTATAACAAAAACACATAAATCAGATTTTGAGCAATATATGTTTTTGTATAACACTTATACCGAGTAACTCTTCTTAGACTTGAGAATGTTATTACTCAGAAAGCCATATCACTGACTATCATGAAACTATCTCTCAAGGACTTTTCAAATTCAAAAATGTTTTTTATGTTTTCTTTTATCTTCTGATTGTTGCATCATATTTTAATAATCACAAGGATAGAAAATCTTTAAAAAATCATAGATCGCAAATAATCCATTCTTGAAAATGATAAGAAAGTTTTATTGATGTTTTAATTTATTTTATTTGTATAATATTTAATTTTGAATAAAGTTAATTAATTTTAAATTATTTGTTTTCCATACATTGTAATACTAAAATAATAAAAATCTAATTATTAATATTAATTATAATAAAAATCTAATTAATAATATTAGCATAATATAGAAATAAATAACATAATATTAAAATCAAACATAATTGAATATTGAATATTCAAATATAATTGAATATTACCCTTGTAATGAAAATATTTTTATTTTCTATTTTAATCTATGGAAAACCATGAATGTTAGCAATTGTATTTGTGTGCCCGCTTCGATATGATTTTATAAATTAGAGATTATAAACAAAGCACAGAGTTTTATTATTATAAAAGAAGAATATTGTTCGAATCATAGTAGTATTATTTATCATAATTTTAGTACTAATTTACGAGCGGGTATAGTTCTTTCATTTTTTGATGGCCAATTCACAAATCACACATATCAAATGTCTTACATCGATAGGACTTTTGCACTACCACAGAAGCGATTATAAAAATCTTAATTCTCACGCGCTATTGATTGATTCTGTAAGGACATCCTTGAGAATCTCTCTTCAATACAATCATTGGTTCTTTTTAACTTTTTCTTAGTTTGCATTTTCGCGAAAGATAATGATTAAAGAAAAAATCAAGATTCTTGATTCTATTAAATCAAGTTTTCAAAAATTATAATTAGAATTTAGCCGAAATAGAATACAGATCAGATTGATAATCAGAACAATTTAGATACAATGCAGATCAGATCGATAATTAGAAGTCAGAGAAAGTTCAAATCAGATTAATTAGAATTGAGATAAAGTTCAGATCAGATCATAGAATTCAATTACATGTGTACAAATGTAAATAAAATCGCAATTAGATTGCCAGAGAGATCGCTGTAGAAATTAGTCAGATTATAGTCAGAAATCGTGAAATTTAGTTAATCGTCAGTCAGCTACAAATAATTAAAATCAATCACCATTAATTCATTCAAGACCCACAAATAATTGTCCTATAATATAATATAATAGTATTCAGTTCAGGCATTCTCTTTTGGGTAATATTTAAAATTGGGTAATATTAATATGTTTAGTTAGACTTTAATAACGCAATGACTATAGATTATTTTGTTTTGTGGATTAAACTAAGAAATAAAAGATGAATATCTTTCATTATAAGATACGATTACGTTTGATTTTTATATTATGTTTCATTAATATTAGATTGTTTAAAATTTCACTATAATACAAAAAACAATGAAATTGAATTATTATCAATTTTATTCGAAAATCATGCAAATAAAATAAATTAAAATATCAATAAAACTTTCTTATCATTTTTTAAGATTCTTTTGAGACTTTTTATCCTTATGCTTAGTAGAATACAACAAGTTGCAACAGAATTCTTGAGACTGTTGAAGTGTTTTGCGAATCGATTTACAAACATTATATGCGCGATGATTGAATGTTTCATATATATTCTGTTAAGAAGAATTGAAATCCATTGAAATTGTGATCTAAAATAATTTTAAACCTATGCTACGTTTTCTAGATCGGTGTAATCTTTTCACCAAAATGACTTTCTTTAACGTATCTCACAGTCAAGGACAAGATACCCCGTATACTAAAAAATTTCATCAATGTAGTTTAAAGTTAGTACTTCTCTAAAAAAAAGCAAACAATAATTATAAAACCCAAAGAAAGAATCCAAATAAAAAATTGTGCTTATGCGCTAAGGAAAATCACAGAACACACATAAGATTTATTTCTAAAATTTTTAACGGAAGAATTTTTTTTGTATTTTTAACAATAAAAGAAATAGCGGACAAAGTTATAAACATAAATATATACGAATCAATAATATCAACTTACCTTTAAGATCTACTTATCAACAAACCTCAATGCATCATTCTATCAAATGATTATTCTATGATTATCCACAATTTCTCATTAATTAATTAAAGAAATTTTCGACGGGCTAGGAATATGGAGGGAATCAACTGTTTCTTAATTTTCGTCAACAAATTTTTATCCACCCAGAAGATTTACATAAATTCCAGATCTAATCAAATAAAAATCGAATATGACCAGATTACATACATAATGGATCTATCCCTCTATAGATATATTAAAATATTTCATTTATAATCAGGAAAGATATCTGATAAAAAAATTGTAAAAACAATTTTTGTACGCATTTTAATATACCGCAAACTTATTCCTCCAGTAAACATGCATACAAACCTGAAATAAATTCTGAAACAATCGAATTAACCTCATCTATAATATCTAATCCAAGTACTCTTAACATATATTTGAAAATCCTGAAAACTTTATCTCTAATAACTGCATTGAAAAAATGCAATTGAATTATATACCTATAACAGCAAAACGAACAAAAAGAAAAACAACAGAGGATTTAATTCGTCCGGCAAATGCAACTATTGACCAAGTAATATAACAAATCAAGAAAACATATTACAAACAGCCAAAGAAAAAGCTAAACATTTCAACTACAATAAATAAATAATATATTAAACGAATTAAGTAAATTAACTAAACTAAACTTTTATCAATTCAAAAATTTTTTGAAAAAATTATATAAGTCCTCAAAGACTAAAGATATTGCCAGAGATTATACTAAAGATTTAGAATCTTTAATAAACTTCATATTAAACTTCATCCAAGTCAGACCGCAATATGAAAAATCATTCACAAGAACTATTCACAAGAACTATAAAAAAATTATCCAAATCTAAAGAGAGTTCTTCAACATGCTCTCCAACACTTTCAGAATGTTCAGATATGCCTCAATGACAATGAATGTGCTAATTAAACACAACATATTAAAATCACGTTTCCTTATTAATTCTTTATTTTTATATATAATCTTTCTCTTAATTAACTGAAATAAATACCAAATAAAATTTTATAATAGAACGTCAATAGCGTTACAACTCGAATTGATTTCTTATAAAAATTAATTCTTACAAAAATAATGAACAATCATATATATTGTGTTTTTAGAAGAAATCAATTTCAAAGATAACAAGTACATAAATATAAAAAACTTTAATATAATTTATAAAAAATAGAAGATCTTGCTTGATTGCAAGCAGAAAAGTTTCAATTTACTTAAAACATAATATTAATTAAAATAAACACTGAAATATTAATATCGAAGCAATTGCAGTCATCTTACATCTTACATTACATGAAATATGCATCTGTAATTTTTATATTCCCAACAATTATGATTTGCAAGAAGCTGAATTCTCAAATTTTATAAATTCTTTATTTTATAAACTCTTTAATATTGATGGGAGATTTTTAATAGCCATAATATTTTGTGAGGATTCATAAGTACGGATGCTAGAAGAAAGAAAATTAAAAATATATTGCTTAAGTTAAAAATCATCTTGTTGAATATTACTAAACTCATTTCAATATGGTAAATAGATTTCTTAACTCAAATAGAGTTCTTTTGCAATCCAAATCTCTTTAATATTGTTGATTACACACTGATTTATTAAGCTGTTCCATAAGTTTCTTTTGCATCATGCTAGGAAATGATTTTAACTGGTTATTTTTAAACATATAGACTTATTTATTAGTCGTTTATATATATTATCGGTTTCAATCGTCCCAGAGCTTTTTCAAAATATTTTGTTGGTAACATAATTTCTTTTAAAACTTTTTTCTACACTTCAATATGGATAATCAAAGGAAGCATTTGCGGCATATTATGCTTCAATGCTTTAAAAAAGGTAATAGTGCAAATGATACTGTAGATGAGATTTGTACCGTTTACAGGAATGGTGCTACGATTATTATGACTATCCGCAATTGGTTTAAGAGATTTAGAGCTAACAATTTTGACTTGAAAAATGAAGATCGTAGCGGCTGCCCAATAATAACGAAGAATATAGAATTTATCAAGGTTATGCTCACTAAAAATCCGCGATATAATATGCGCGAGATAATGGATGCCATTAGCATTCCTAATATATAATCACCTGATCAAAATGGGATGTCAATCGATGTGAAGCACACATAGCTATTGATAGAGACTGGCCTTATGAACTGTCTATAAGTCTATGCGATTTGCTTCTCCAGCAGCATGAAAAAGATTCTTTCTTAAAGAGGCTTGTCAGTGAAGACAAGACTTGGATTTTGTATCAATGTGCATCGAAAACACACTTGACTATAGATTTTCAACTGTCACGAACCCTCCTATTTCACCTGAAGAAAATTCTTTTGTCCATTTGGTGAGACTAGAAAGATATAATTTATTATGAGCTTCTTTCTCAAAGTGAAACCATCAATTCTGCTCAAAACTGCGATCAACTTAATAAATTGAAAGCTGCCATAGCAGAAAAACAGCCATTAGCAAATCAATGAGACGTTGATTTTCACAATGTAAAACTGTATGTTGCATTAGCTATAACAGAAAAGCTGTTCCAATTTGATTGGGATATTTTATCGCATCCTCCATAGTCCCCAGATCTTGCTCTATTCGACTATTACTTGTTCATGTCATTAAAAAAATTTTCTTCATGATAAACAGTTCCAATCTGTAATAAATAAAAACGTACCTCGAAAAATATTTTGCAACTAAGTTCCAACAATTTTGAAAAGAGAGAATAATGAGGCTTCCTGAGAGATGGAAGAAGGTGATAGAGCAAAACGGTATATTCATATATAACGCAATAAATCAACTTTAAACAATAAATAAACGTGTATTCATTTCATATTAAAAGAAAAAAACTTATGGGACATTCTAATATTTAATAGCAATCATTTCCTCTTCCTCTTAATTATAAAAATAACAAGCAATGATACGAATATTTGTACAACCCAAACCAAATAGAAATTTAAAAAAGCTGAGCATATCTATATCCGCCGATGTATTAACTCAAAATTATTCGGAATCTATCACTATTGCTTTGATTCTTTCATTTATAATGAAATTAATCAAATAATGGAGAAATTTGAAACTTTAATTATTGCTATAAAATCTATTCTCAAGACATCAAATAACTTTAAAAAAAATTACATGGTGAATATCGATTGCGATCTAATTAAGAGCACAGACACTCCAAAGATTCTTGATCTAGCATTCGATGGAAAACATACTTAGACTTCTTCCTAAAAAATCTTAAAATTGAATGTTATAAAAAAATCTTTTAAAAAACATCGCATTAAATAACTGTAGAACTAAATATCAAGTTCTAATAAAATCTTACAAAGTTTTAATTCTATCCAAGATTGATTATAGAACAGTCGTGTACAATTCTATCAAACCAATATCCTTAAAATTCTCGCCTACATAACGCTGAAGCCAAAATAGCTACTGGAGCATTTGTAGAAGTCCAATTATCTCACTTCTATGCGAGATTAATTTATTATTTTTAGATACCAGAAGGAAAAAATTATTATTAACATCCAAATTATATGCAATATCCAAATTAGCAACACTACCAAACCTTGTCTGCAACATAAATGACCTAACTTATTTTAATGATTTTGAATTACAATCTTACCTACTTTATTTACCAAAACCAATAAATTTTAAACTTAAAAAAAATTTCCAACATTTAGAAATTGATGTTCCTCCTGTCATGTAAAAAAAACAATATCAAATTTCTCCATGGATAATAAAAACTTCTTCCATTCATCAGCAAACTCATAGTAGAAGACAATAGAAATTCTTCAATAGTTCTTAAATCCTTATATGCAGAAATATTCTATAATCATCCAAATCACGAACAAATTTTTACTGATATTTCAAAATTCGAAGAGGTGATACCGGATGTGCGGTATGCACTCCTTAGAGATATAAACATATTTTTAAACTTTCATATTTATTGTCTTCAGTTATGAGGCATATGCCGTGTTATCTACATAGAAGCTCTTATCTACATAGAAAAATTGACACATAATAAATTCATCATATTCTCTAATTCCAAAAGTGTCTTATTAGCTATACAAAATTTAGAATCAAATAACTCAATAATTCAAAACATTATTAAAATGAACGTTAAACTCAAAAATATCAATAAAAACGTTTTCTTTTCAAGAATTCCAGTTCATATTGGAATTAAAGATAATGAAAAGATTCTAACTAAATTGGCTTGCATTTACATCAAATTATAAACCTGTATTCTATGAAAACCTCCAAAATTTCTTAATGTTAATTAAGAATGTTAATAATGTTAATGTTAATAAATTATATATAATAACAGCAATATGGAATGAAGAATGGAAAAACTTAAGGCCTACCAAACTACAAATTCAGAAATTCGGAACAATGCGATTGATTTTAATCCGGTTAATTAATACTTAACAGAAAAGATCAAGCTGTATTAATAAAAGCAAGAATAGACTACATGAATTTAACTCACTCTCATTTTATTACCAAAAGGAAACCAAACATCTCTAATATTTAATGTATGGAATTCTATAAAACACATCTTAATTATGTTCAAAGTTTAATATCCAAAAAAACTAATATAAATTCACTACAAAAAGAATCTGCAGTAAAAGTACTAAATTTTTTGAAAGAATTTTGAAAAAAATTTGAAAGACTATACCATTACTTTAAATAACAATTATTGAGTTCCCTCATCGTGATCACTAATAACTTTGAAATGCATGTGATCTAAAAATATATAATTAAAAAAAAACGTTAGCAACAATAAAAAATTTAACCTTGAAATTCAAAATCAAAAATAATTTTATGGAATTTTTTTTAATAGATTTTCACTAATTTTGCAGAACATACCTACAACAATCAGGACATCATTCTTTTATTTTGCACAAATAATAAATATAATATATTTTACATTATGTATCAATATAATATCTGAAATTGTCATTTTCATCATCGTTTCATTGTGACAATCAAATCTCCTGAAATGACTATTCTTTTTTTGTATATAATTGAATTAAATAATATAATATTTCATTTAAAATTATATATATAATTATATCTATATAATATATTATGTAATATTTTATTTAATACGTTATTTAATATGTTATGTAATATGTTTTAGTTTTTATTTTTGTAAATTCAATTTTATTCTCTATATTATAATATATATATAATATTATAATAATATTATAATAATCATTATATTATAATAATCATTTCGGATCTTATATCTGTTTTTGATAATTATATATATGTTATTAATGATTGAAAAAATCTTTCTACATGCTTTTTGCATTTCAATAAATAAAATTCGATTATTTGCAATATTTCAAAATAATATTTTTTGTTAATATTTTATAATTTATTTATTTTTTATTTGATTTTAAAACTCAGATATTATATAGATATAATATATAATATTATACAGAGAATTATTCTTTTTCTTGAATAAAAAAATTAGATAATATTATAAATATCATTTATTTTTTTATTATTTATAATTATTCTATTAAATTTTAATCAGAATTTATCTAAAATAATTGATTTAATAAAATTGATTTCTATAATTTTTAATGAAAAATTTTCTGAATTTAAAAATTGCAATGATATTAAAAGGTATTTTTCTCATAAAATCTTAAAATATAAAACTTTTTAATATTGAAATTAAATTAATATAGAAATCATTAATTTTTTATATTTTTTATTATTTTTATTTCATTAATAATAATTATTGTTCCAGGATCGATGAAAATTTCTTTTAATAGAAATAAATAATCATTGAATATTCGATTTCGTATAATATTTAAATATATTTTATGAAATTTATAAGATATTTTAAAAATCCAGAACATTCTAATAACAATTTGTATATTAATATATTGGTTTTTTTTAAATTTTACCAAATTTTATTAATATATTACATAAATTTTATCTATAACATTTAATATGATTTAAAAATTGTAAATAAATTTTTATATATAAACAATTAAAATTTTCAAATATGTTAAATCTTATTTATTTTTGTATGTATTTTTTTTGTTGTCACTATAAATATACGTGCATTTAACAAATTGAGTTATCAGTTATAAAAAAAAAACACTTATGTATTTATGTTTATGAGAGAGCAGTTATAGATATTGGCTGATATTAATAAAATCAAATTCATATATATATATATATCTATGTATTTATTGTAATATATATCTATTATATCAATTTCGTTATTGTATTTCCATATTTTATTATTTTTATATTTAATTTTATATTTATATAAATAAATATAAGTTATAATTATTACAATATGTTTATAATATAAATAATTGTTATACCAACATATATATAGCAATAACATGCTATACCAACTATCATGGTTTTTGTCAAAAATAGAAAATGCAATTTTCATCTAATTTTCTTTTTTGCAGATTCTTCTAAGATATTATCCTTTAGAATTCTTTTTCAAAATTCGCTTGTAATAGTTGTCGAAGTTGTACATTTAATGATTAAATATAAATGAATTCAATTTTTAATTTTTTTTCGATTCACACTTTTTTTTTCAATTTATGTTCATTTTTTTTTATTTTCCTTTGTCTATTTTTCTTTCTTAATATCTATAAAAAAAATAAAAATTTTCTATCACATCTCAACTATGAATATGGCCTTACTTATGTATATCTATTTTCAGCTAATGATTTGTTGAATGAAAATGAATAAATCTGTAACTGATTTAAAATTTTTTTGATACATTCTAATAATCATTATAATAGTTAGATCAAAAAAATTGTTTGAAGTGCAACATAATGATAATCATAATTTTATGTGATAATCATAATTATCTTAAAATATTTTGTCTTTTATATTTTTTTAGGACACCTAATAGGAATATAAACAATACAAGAAATTTTCAATATATATATAGACAAACATTTACATGATATAAAATTAAATGTATGAAATGGTAAATACATAGAAAAACAACTTCTTCAATAAGTAAAAAACTAATAAATTCTTTAAGCTAATAAATAAATTCTTTAAGCTAAGAACTAATAAATTCTTTTTCCTAATAAAATCTTTCTAGCACCATTGATATAAATGCTTATATTTTTTAGAAACAAATTACATTTATCTATTATTTATTATTGGAATTTAAATCTATTATTTATAGAAGAATTATTAATTCTCATTATGGTTAAATCTAATAGATATATTTGTATGTTTTTTCATCATCGATATATTTGATTAAATTTTTTACATTGAACATATCTATGCTCTTATTGATTAATTTATTTTATAATATTATTGTTGTGCTTAAAATCAAGGTTTTTTTAATGACATTTTTTTTATTTTTATAGAAATTTTTATTTTTTTTAGAGAAATACTTATTATTTGAAAATTAAATAATATCATTTGATTCATTTTGACAACATGATTTAAAAATTAAAACTTCTGCTATATTTAAAATTAAATTCAATTATAAATCTTATTTCAATCTTTTTTACATTTTGAAATTTTGACATCTTGATATTTTAATATGAATATAATATTATTTTAATATAATATTTTAATATAATATTATTTTGAAATTTCTTTTTCTTTTTTATATTTATCATGTAACTTCTTATATGACATATTTTTAGATAGAAGATAAAAAATATTACATATTATGAAAATGCTATTCACTACCACAATACAATTTTATATTTTGCTTTATGGAAGTTTTTATATTTCTGCAATTATGTAAATTCTGAATATGGAAGATATTTCAAAATGTATTTATAATATGATTTCTTCAAAGGAAGAGAAAATATTCCATATCAATATTCTTAGTCATTACATTCATTATTAGTTTTTCAGTTTATTTCATAATTCAAAAACTATTTTATTATTATTTTAAAAATTGTTTTCTTTTAATTAAAAATAATGTAGCAATATTAAATGCATATTTTATTCCTGATTTAAATCAATTTCAGTGATTGAACTTGGACTAAGAATAACCATTCTATTATCAAAACAAAACTAAATCTACTATCTAAAATATTCATTATTAGTTAATTTATAATATTATAACAATACATTCCAAAAAAAGTTTATTTTTATTAAAATAAAAATTATTAAAATAAAAAAATTAATGAATATATTTAGCATGTTTATAATAAAATAAGTTCTTATATTTTTCAAAAAATAATAGTTTTAAAATTATATTGATATGAAAATATTGAATATTTATCTTACTTGAGTTTTTATTAAAAATTTAAATCTTTCAAAGTAAAATATAAAAAATCAGCGAATTTCCATTTTATAAGAACACTAATAAAAGAATTCATAAAATTCATATTCACAATATATCTCGATAGATGGCGCAGCAATCGTATCATATTCCTTCCTAGTTAGCTTTTTTTATTCCCAAATCAGAATCACATAAAGCTCTAAAAATCTATATTTTATAAATCTATATCTATTAACTAGATATTAATAGAATCTTCTCTGACAACTCTGGAATTACAAAACTAATTACATCAATTTCTACTATTCTTAATGTAGGATTTATATGGTTTTTTATTTTTATTTAATATCTTATATATATATATATATATATTTTATATTATATATTATATAAAATAAAATTCTGAATCTTTTTATTTCATCTTTTTTATTTCATTTTATTTTATTTTATATTTTATCATCATTAAAACAAGATTTCAAATTTAAAAAAATAGATTTTACAAAATGAAAAAAAAAATTTCTATATGTTAAATTTTTCCGTGAGATCACATTTCATATATTTGCAAATACATATTTAAATACATATATATATTTTTTATAACAAAACTATCAACATATCTATTAAATCTAAAAACCGAAAATGTTCAATAAAGCAAAAAAATAGCTAGAATACTTTTTTACTTTTTCAAGTAACTAGAATATATTTTGATTAATTTTAAATATCGTTAAACTACATTTGGTTCAATTTACAATATTTAAGAATTCTAATGTTATTTATTTTTAAATGCTTCACTGCACACATCAATATCAAATAATCTTTAATTATAATTATTATTAATTTTATAATTTAGATTTTTTAAATTTTAATTTTTTTTAATTATTGTTTTATTTTTTAAAATTAAAAATATATATTTTTTCAAATTTTTCTTCTAATTGAAATTGTGTTTTAATGATGTTTTAATGATAAAATAAATCTTTAAAAAAACAACAGAAAAATATTATTTTAGAATAACATTATCAAAATTGGAAGAAGTTACTAAATTAGATTATTTTTATCAATTTTTTTCATTTATATTATTATATAATTATAATAACGAATATAGATAATTAATATTTCATTAAAAATTTAGTATTAAAAATTTAAAATATTAAATCATTTCAAAAATTCGAAACATGCACGTATGTTATCATTTTATATATATATTTATATATATATTTTTATTATATACTTTATATATATTAATTTTTAATTCTGCTTTCATAAAATAAACTATTAATAAAACATTTGATAACAATAAGATGAAAAAAGAATTTAGTTAGCAATGATAACAAAATTATTTTTGAGAAAACTGATGAAAAAAATAAGAATTCTAGAAAAATTCTTTTTTATTATTAAAATTTTTAAAAAAAAATTATATTTTTAATTAATGCAAAAAAATTGCAAAAGATTAAAACACTAATATTTATTTAAAAAATTAAGAGAAGTATTGATGATAATGATTACAATATTTAATGATATAAATAATATCATTATCAATAGAAAGAAATTTACTATATAATTCAATATTATTAAATATAAATTTTATTTAATTTATAAAAAATATGAAAATTCAAAATTCCCGCCATTATGTATAAACAAAAATATGCTATATTCACTATAGTATTACTAGCATATTTCTATATATCAGAGTAATCTGTCTATTTATTAGTTTGTGGATTTAATAAATATCAAATATCAAAATATTCAAATTATTAATATTATTCTATTAATTGTATAAAAAATATATGAATATGAGATATAATATCTTTATATTACTTTATAAAGAAAAAATAATTTTTTACAAAAATTATATTTTCTTTTCTAAAATTTATTACAAAATTTATTTATGGTTACATAGAACTTACTAAATTATATTCATGCAATAAGATTGATATAAATATAAATCATAAGTAATATATTGATAATAAAAGAATAAAATATTTGCAAATGTTATATCTGGTTAGATTATATACTTTAATGCAAATGATTTAAACAGAGTTAAGATGACGCTATCTTTTTTACTTCTATGACTGAAGAAATTATCCGCCATTATAGTGTACGGTGTATAATATGCATCAATAGTTACGAAGAAGTAAAAATATGTTTAAAAGAAAATATGAAGACAGTGGGAACGTGTTTCGTTTTGTATCAAGTGTGTTACTTTGTTATATTTTATAAGTGAAATGTGCATTATTTTTTAAATGAATGACACAACTTAACCTGTGACTTAACATCGAAGTGTTGAATGAAAATATAGTAGAAATGTATGTATGTAATATTTTAAATTAATAAACGGAAGAATTGTACAATTTCTTTTATGTTGGTAAGTTAAAGCAAAATTTTATATCAAATAATACTTACATATAGATAATGAAAATAATTTATTAAATTGTTATTTTTAAGAATAAAGTTTTTTCCGAATATAAAAATTTAAAAATGTTTTTTCACAAACTGATAAGATTTTATGAATAGGTTTCAAAAATTATAATTTTAATTTAGAAATGCATGAAATCGAAAATTATACGTGTTTAAAAATGCTTTATTTTACGGGTTACATTAACGGCCATATTAGCTCCTCTCACTGCCCAGCCAATGAAAAGAATCCATTCTCATTTTCTCCCTATAATGGCGCCACATGCATATTGTCGATAGCTGGTAACTTGATGTCAGTGAACCGATGTTCGCGATGATGTTTTGGCGGGATGTACTTACTTAATATATATTCATAGAAAGCTTAAGCATTCCGCGGATCCAAAGGATCCGCGGAATGCAAAAATGAAATATGAAACAATCCTTGGACAACCAAAATTACAATGATTAAAGTTACAATAACAATATAAGCATCATAGTATCTATTATTTCTACAAACATGGACAGTAAGAGGAGCCAATATGGCAGCCAATGTAATCCGTAAAATAAAGCATTTTTAAACATACATAACATTCAATTTCATATATTTTTAACATTAAAATTTATTTGTTAAGTTCTATTAATTAGTAAAAAAAAAAATTTTTTGAAAGCTTTGTGCGGGAAAATAAAATTTTTTATTGTTTCTTTATAGTTGAAGATGTCAACAGAATACAGTAGAAGTGTTTTAAGAATGGTGGTTGCTCAAATATGTCAAACAATTGGATGGCATTCAATTAATTCTACATCGTTAGAATTTATGGTTGATCTTATGCAAGAATATATTTTGCGAATTTCAAAACTTACTCATCAATATGCAGAAATTTGTAAGTATTTTTGAAATGATATAAAGATTTCATTGAAAGTTCAAACACTATAGTTTTATTGATATAATATAATTCATTATGAAATTATATAAATTATATTAATTTTATTTAAATTGAACATGATATAAGTCATAATTTTTGCATAACATATAACATTTTTTATATGTTGATATATGATATTAATAATATTATATATATTTTTTTTATTTATAATTTTTAAATAATATAATCAGTTTCTGGTTATTCATTTATTCAAATAAGATTCTTTTGTAAAATAGAGTTTATTATATTTAAAGTTTTTATTTTATTTTAAAATATAGCATTAAATATTTTTTTCAGTGGGAAGGACAGAAGCAAATCTTGATGATTTAGGTTTAGCATTTCAAAATATGAATATTGATATACAGGAATTAACAGAATATATTAAAAATGTAGATTCTGTTCCATGTCCTATAGCAGTACCTAAATTTCCAATTCAACGTGAAAATCATTTGAATTTTTTAAAACCTGGAAGTCGAGAAGTTGTAACAAGACCTGTACATATACATGAACATTTACCAGCTATGTTTCCTGATACAGAAGGTAAAATATATTATAAATATTATATTATAAAAATTAAACATTAATATTTTAAAATAAAAAGAATAAAACTTTATAATTATAATAAATGATTAATAAAAAAGAAATTCATTGTTAATATTTTTATTAATATTAGAGATTATCCAATGCAAATCATTTTTTGTTGGAATATTAATTCAAATTACTCATATGGAACAAATTATTCAATAATATACAATATAATATAATATAATAATATAATATATTATATTTATAAATATTAATATATATATTATATTTTATATAATATTTCAAATTTATATTAATATATTATTAAATAATGATATAAAAATATTTTTAATATTTTTATATTCAAAAACAATTACTTATAAAACACAAATTACGTTATATACACAAACAAATACATATAGAAATAAATAATTTCTTGCACATTGTGATATTCAAATATTAATGAAAATCACTGTATTTTTATATTTTAAATTAATATATTTTTATATTTTAAATTAATATAATTATTTAATATATTTCAAAAAACATCAAAAATAAAAATAAATATATAATACATAATGAAAATTGTTACTATTATTGTAAATTATTGATTAAATATTTGAAATCATTAATATATTCCATATACTTTTAGGATTTAAAAAGATAACATGTTAGAATTTCATTACAGAAAATTTTTTTGTTAGAAATCTACCAAATTAAATAAAATGATTACATATTTTAGCATTGTAGTTGATTTCAAATTATAATATATTCAAATAACAAAATTAAAAAAATATTTAATAGAAAAAGAAAGGATATATAATAGATAATAGAAAACAATTATATAGTAAATATACTTAAGTTTTATTTATAACATATTTTTCTAATAGATCATTTTTTTTATAATTATTTAATAAATAATTGAAATTTATATTTAATATATATTGTTTATATAACTATATTTAACAAAAATGTCAATTAATTTTTAAGAAATAAAAATATATTAAAAAATATACTATACATAACAATAAAATACATAATAAATTTAAAATTAAAAAATATTTATTAGCTTTTAGTTTTACCAGCTTTTTTATTCAAATATTATGAACTATGGTTTATGAGATTATTGATATAATCTTTACTAACATTCTTAAATGCTGACTAATCAATTCTTTCTTATGTATAACAGCTTAGTTTTTTGAGATATTTACAAAAAGAGATTGTTATTATTATAGAAATTTTTTCTTATATCTCTTATATTTCTATATGAACGTGACTGCATATGAGTATTTTTTGTTATTGAGATAGCTTTTATCAAAATGAATGACATTTATTTAAATTTTTTTTATTTTATTTATTTGTTATACTTATAATTCCAGAGTTACAACAGAAAATTTATTCTAATTCTAATATTTTTCATTTTATCGTTTTCTTTTCTTCTTCCTGGTATTTCTATTCAGAACAAATTTTTAAGTTAAATTTGATAATTGTATAACATCTATATTTAATTAAATTTAATCATGTTTTGATGTCTTTACATTAATTTTATTTTGTTAAAAAAAAAGTTTCTTAAAGTTTCTTAATTCTTATTGTTATATAATCTCATAAATCTTCAAATCTAGGATGGACTTGATCGTATACATTTTACATTACATTTTCTTTTACAAAAAATATTTTAATTAATTTGAAAAAATATTTTGAAATTTGTTTTTTTGTTATTTTAAAATGTCGAAAATGTTTATTACATTTTTTTGTTAAAAAATGAAAATATATAATTTTGTAAAATGTCGCAATATATAATTTTATCTATGTATTTGTTTCGTAAAAGAATCGAAAAGTTTTGTTTGAATTTGCTAAAAAGCAGATTAATTCAATTATTATTGAATCTAAAATTATATCAAGTCATAAAAATAAGTTCAATTTATTCGCAAATGACATTAGATATAATGACATTCTAATAGATAAAATTTAAAATTTAATTTTAAATGAAAAATTAGATGGTACATTACAATTCTGGTTTGCTAATATATTTAAAAAAAAAATTGTTTATTGATATATACAAATCTTATCTTATCTTCAACTTCAGCTTATTGATCTCATAAAAAAATTTAATATAATTCAATATAAAGAAATTCAAATAATAAATATTAATGGTTGGTAAATCATTTCTTTCTTAACTTTTGTATTTCTTAACTCAATAGATATACATGTATATGATAAAAGATTGCAAACATTAAATAAATTTTCTTTTTTATTTAAAAGCATATGATAAAAATATAAAGATAAAATTATATTTATAATTACATATATATTAAAATTATATTTTAATATATTATTTTATTAAAGAATTTTTCTAAAAGAATTATTTATTAAATATATAAATAAATATATTTTAATTTATAAGATAATTATAAGAAAATACTTTATGTAACATAAGTAATATAAAGTAATGTAAATAGATGTTTATTTTTATTATATATTATTATTATTTATTATATTATTTTTATTATATATTATATATATCATATTATTATTAATATAATAACTAATAAAAATATGGCATATTTAATTTCTAGCTTTAAACTGCTCATAAAAAAATAAAATTTATATAACTTATATTATAGCAATATAATTAGTAAAAATTCAAAAAGTTGGCATTAAAATAGAATATATTGTTATTTTACAGAGGAATATGTAGCAGAGAAAGCGGAAAATATAATGAATGGCTCGTCTGATTTAACATTGAGTAATGGAACTTCAAGCAATAGTTCCATGAATGTATCTCCTCATAGAATGTCACCACAAGTAGTTTTTAAACGACCAGGAGATCCTGTCTCACTTGAAAGTCCTATAGTAAAGCGTGTAAAAGTATTAGAAGAAGGTAGACCATTACGTGAAATTCACAGTGTCATGATGACTACTTCAGGTTTTTTATCACCTGCTCGAGAAGGAAAACTACCTGAAGCAAGGACACCACATCAAACTCGTTCAGATTCACCACAACCTAGTTCTTATCCTATGGTACCTCCAGAATTAAAATACGATAAAAAACCGAAAAAGATTATAAAGAAAGGATTAGAAGATTGTAAACTTGATAAAGAAAACAAGAAAAAGAATCGTGCTAAAGAATTATTTAAACCAGATAAAACAGATGATAATAAAATTAAAAAATTAGCTGGTATGAAAGAATTAGCAAAATTAAAACCTTTAAAATCAATAGGTGGAAAATTACAAAGTACCCTGCCTAGTTCGTCAAGCAGACCATCTACTCCTAAATTAATATCACCTAAAACAGTTAGTAGTCCAAAATTACAGAAAACTACACAACCAAAAACAAAACCAGAAAAAATAATTGATCTTACTAGTAGATCTCCACCATCTAATGAAAGAAAAGAAGACAATATTGATAAACTTCCATCTGAACCAGATAAACAAAAGTTGAATATTTTTAAAAAGATTTCAAAACCACGAGAGGATAAAGATAAAGACATATCAGAACAACATAAATATAAAGAGCTTGATTCAAGAGAAAGTTCACCTGCTTTAGTGATTGATGAAAATATCGATAAACAAACGCTTCGTAATGATATTGATGTAAAACGAGAAGAAAAAAAGACTCCACATACACCAGATGTTCATCTTCAACCAGATGGAGGAGAATTAATTAATTTACAAAGTCCAGGATCAGATGTTTATATGTTTGATGATATGTCACCACCAGGTACTCCTAGCACTCCAAGAACTCCAGAATTAAACATGCCTACAACACCTACAGATCATAAAAAAAAGAAGGAAGGAAAAAATGAATAAAAAACGGGAAATAAAATCAAGAAGTCCAAAACATTATGTTAGTCCAAAAAAGGTAGGTTTATTTAGATATGGCATTATATAATATTAACACAAGTGCACGCTTGTGTATATGTAGCACTATTAATTGCTTAGAAGAAGACATCGAAAGACATCGCCGATATGCGATTACCGTTTTTTCAGACAAAAAGTATCAACGAGGTACCAGAACAGGATATACTAGATCGACCAAAAACTCCACAGGCACCTGAACCTCAAATTTCTAAAGAACCAAGTTTTCCACCAACACTCCCATTTCCCTTTTTTCCAACATTTCCTCCAGCACCTGGTTTAATACCTCATCCTATGTTTCCTAGATTTCCATTACCTATAGGAAGAGGTAGTAGTGGCCCTCATCCAACAATGTCAAATTTACCATTACCACCTCGTTTTATAAGTTTACCACCAAAATCTGAAGATTTTTCTACTTTACCAAAATCTAAATCTGTCGATCGGGATAAACTTTCTTCAGTACCCACTTCTACCGAAGCAACGCTTTCAATAACAAAACATGAAAAAACGGAGAAAGAAAAAGGAGATAAACCAAAGGCGAATAAACAGGACAAAGAGATATCTTCGCCAGTTCCTACAAGTACCGTTGCACCGCCTTTATCATCTGCACTTGCAGCACCAATTACGTATCCTAAACCAGTACCTATTGTGCCGTTATTATCTTCAAAAACCCCTAAAGTTGAAAAACAGGATAAATGTGATAAGGTAATTTTTTACTTTACTAGTATTTATTTAAATATCTTTCATTCAATTTTTTTATTGGTTTATAAAAGTCAATACATTTTCAATAATTTATGTATAATATATGTGTCTTTTAAATTTGATCTGTTTAAATTTGAAAAAATAAAATAATAAAATACTTTTCATTTCATACAAAATAAAATATACAATAATTTCTTAATAAATGATTGCAAACACAATTAGTCTATATTTATCTAAACAAAATAATTATATCATTATTCTTTAAATATCTCATAAAACGAATGATTATAAATGAATAATTGAATAAGAAATCACATCAAGGATAAATAATATCTGGCTTTATATAAATATATAATAATAAATCAAACTAATTATTTTGATTATCAATTTTGATGAATCAATCATTAATGAAAATTTATATTTTTGTATTTTCTATTAAATTTTTATGAAATCATTATTAATTAATAATGATTTAATAATATTTTATTATTTAATATTATTTTATTTTAACATCTTAAATTATTAAGATATTTCTAATTAGAATCATCGAAGGAATCTGAATAAAAGAAAAATGAGAAAAATTAATTTTTTTATTTTCATCTTAATTTTCAAATATGATGATAACATAATGAAAATCTTGAATAAAAAAAATATTTATTTATTAGAAATTATTGTATATACAGAATGATTCATATAATAAAAATATAATTCATATTTTGAAAATTACAAGATTGACTTTTTTAATTATTTAGGTCAAAAATTTTTTAAATTGTAGAATAATTTAGAATGATTTTTTTATAATAAAATTTAAGATTAGAATGATTAAAACAGATTATATAATTTGTAATAAATTACGTTATTTATAATTTTGTAAATATATTATCTTATTATATTATACAATTATACAATTATATTTTATATTTAAATCTTTATATTAATTCATTGTAGATTAAAAATAAAAAAATAAAATGCAAAATATTTTATGACACATATATAAAATTAATATTTGATTTGAAATATGATTCTGAGCATTATAATTAATAAGAAATATTACATAACTTTTTAAAAAATAATTTTTTTTTCATTATTGCACAATTAAGTTTATCTTTGAAATCAACAAATATTATTTATTTAATATACAAAATAATAGTATTATTTAAATTAAAAATGTTTAATATTTTATTATGATTTTTAATTTTAGTTGTCAATCTTAATTTTCAAATTAATTACATTAATAATATATAGATATTGTAAAAGAATAAAGAAAATTAAAAAATACATCTTTTCTATATTTAAAAAAAAAAAAGAAAAGTTGTAATATATTTGTAATTTTTAAATAATTTGTGAAATTTTTAGAAATTAGTCTTGATTTCATGAAAAAAGAATTAAAAAAAAATATTACATTAATAATACATATTTGCTGAATCATAAATCAATCTTTATTATAATCAAATTTTTCAGATTCCTTTGATTCCTTTAATTTGAACAAAAAATATTTTAACAAATTTTTATCAATATTTACTTAAAATGAAATATATTTTTTAAAATCATGTATTTTTAAATTTATAGCAAGATGAATTTAATAATCTAATATACTATAATCTTGTGATAAATTTGAATTCAAAAATTGTTATAAAATGTTGTTGATATGTTATTATCTTAATTCATTGTTAATTTGCCAACATAATATTTATGCATTTTATTATATTTCGAAAAAATATGAAAAATATACACAAGATAATCAAATAACTAGAAATAAATTTTATGTAGCATATTATAAATATAAATATTATGAATGTATACATATTATGAATAATTGAAGTACGAATAATGAAAGTAAATATATAAATTCATTTTTCACAAAATTCTGCTTTTTACAATAAATTCTTACATATAGTTACAAAAAGTAATTTTCTAAATTTTTACATGTTTGTATTTTTTTTTTTTTTTAATTTTTTACATCATAAATAATTTATATATATATTTATATATATAATATATACATATAATTAATTTTAAATATTTCTAAAAATCAAAATCTATACTTAGAATTTTTTTAATAATATTTATTTCAAAATAGTATTTATTAATTTACGTTAGTATATTTGACATTTATAACATTTAGATTAACAATTATTGAGGAACATGATATGTCTTTTATTTATAAAAGGAATTATAATTATAATAAATTATAATAATTTAGAAATTATCCGATTTATAAAAATATATAAACTTGTATTGAAACTAAATCTAATGATCTCTTGACACTTTTTTTTTCTTTTTATATATATACATAATGACTAACGAAAGTATTCGAACGTTTACTTTTACAATTTTTGATAAATGAAATATATATGTTAAAGAAACTTGTTTAAGATAAGAGAGATGTATAATAGGAAGGAAATTTCAAGATTATGTCAGCAAAATTTGAAAATGATTCATCAATTTGTGCAGTAGTTATAATATATTTATTATTTATTAAACACCGTTAGTAGATTACAAAAGTATTCGAACGCTGATACGTTCTTGATAATTTTTAAACATTTTAGCAATAACATTTTAGAAATATAAACTGATACTAAATGAGAACATTTTTACGTTCAGTTGATATCAAGTATCATTCTATTAATATAAATAATATAAAAATAATGAAAAAATAATAAATAATATAAAAACATAAACAATAATATAAAAGTGTGCGATATTCAAAATAAATCCGAAAAAGTTTTAAACACAAAAGTGTGAATGAGAAACTTCCTTCGGCTGCATAGGATGAGAAATCATATACAGCAGCGAAAATTATAAACAGTAAATCTATGGTACATTATATCATAAAAAAATCAAAAACTGAACAATTGAATAAAGCTCGATCAAGAAAATTAACTGAAAGAAAAAGTTATTATTCGCGAAATAAAAAAAAAAATCTTATTATATGCATTTACACTTTCAACTATGATATTGAAAATGTTTGATAAAGATGTTCATCCCCAATTATGTCGACGAGTCTTACGAAATAATAATTTTCATGATGGAGTAGAAGAAAGCTATTTAAAAAAAAAGTCGTACATTAATAAACAAAATCAAAAGAAAAAACTTTTGCAAAAACATTTGTAACAAAAGATAATGCTTTTTAAAAAAAAAATGATATTTTCTGACGAATCTAAGTTTAATATTTTTAACTCATATGGGCGAAATTATATATGAAGAAGACTAAATACGGAATTAGACATTCAAAATATATGCTCAACATTAAAATACAATGATTCGATCAAGATGTGGGTCTACGGTAGCTAGTGATATAAGGAATTTAGTATGTATTAGCAATAATTATAGTATTTATTAACGTTTATATACTCGATAAATACAAATTTCTAGATATTCTAAAGAACAATCTCAAAAATAGTGTTTATTGATGATATGCTTATTATAATTTGAGATTGTTCGAAGATTTTTACTTTCAATAAGACAACAATCCTAAATATACAGCGTAAATCATGGAAAAATGGATCGTATACAATATATCCCATTGAAAATTTATTTTGCTGAAATAAACAAAAAATTAAATAAATTTCAAATATCTTCAAAGCAGATGCTTAAAGAAAAAATTATAGAAATATGGAATTTCATCAATTATAATTTTACAAAATCATTGGTTCACAGTATGGAACATTGACTGAGACAAATTATTATCACCAAAGTGATTCAACAAAATATTAATATTAAATAATATTGCATGTATGAAACGTTCGAATACTTTTGTAACTTACTAACGGTGCGTGTTTATAATAAATGTATTATAATTACTGCACAAATTGATGAATCATTTTCAAATTTTGCTGATATAATCTTAAGATTTCTCTTCTACTATACTATACCTCTCATTGTTTCAAACAAATTCCTTATATTCGTTCTTCAAAAATTAAATATAAATGTAAGCGTTCGAATACTTTCGTTACCTTATATATAAAAGAATTTTCATAGATACTTAGTATTCATTTAAAAAAAGAAATGCAAAATAATCAGCTAGAAACTGCACAATTGCATTTCTTACGGAAAATTCTTAAAAATTTTCTGTTTTGTTATACATTTTTTTTTTTTAAGAGATTAATTGGATTCATTAAAATTTATTTATTTTGCAATGCTATAAGAAGAATACATTATAATTCAACTTGAATTCTTATCTAAACCATCCGTAATTATGATAGTTGTGGTACGAAAGGATATTCTATATTATACAGATTTTCATAGAATAATAATAATAGGAGAAATAATAGAATATTTTCTCTATATATTTTCAATGTTACAAAAATAACAGAGGCATCTTCATTTTGCTTTTACAGTACTAGTAAATGCTTTGATAATTACAAATTCGACTATCATATATAAAACATATAAGGATGAATAAAAAAATTATCCACATTCTCATCATATTAAAATTTTAACTGTGCTTATCAATCTTCTTATGAGATTGTTGTCTTCTCAATTACTATTATGCAAGTTTGAACGTATTGTATAGTTTACTTGTACACTACAATATTTTTTACACTACAGTAATTGTAGTGTAAAAAACAATAACTGTTTCAATTATGATTTAAAGAAAGATACAAAGAAAGTAATATTGTACTGCATATCTGTACAATCTTATCCTCCAAAAATTTCGTGTTAACGCAATCTCTGTCATAATTCTAATCTGGTATTATTATTTATTTCATCCATTAAAAATATCCTACGAGGATAAAAATTCATATTTAATGAAAACATGCATTTATGACTTGCAACTCAGTTGAATACATTTTTTAATGAATATGAAAGCTTATTGACAAATGTATAAAGTATGGTAAAAAATTGAACTTATATTGAAATATGATCTATTTCTGAAATTGATTAAATTAAATTATACAATTAGAATACGGATATTCTTTGATCTCTATTGCTCGTGAGATTTATGACAACTTATTCAAAGAAGAAAATCCTCGTATGGAAACTCTTTTCTATTATCGGTCACTGATCTCTATTAAGCCTAAATAAAGAATGATGTTCTTGAAAATATTCTGAGAAGACTATAGTTTTTGAGAAGAGTTTAGTCGATATTTGTAATTGTATATGTTTGACATGTTTCAGTCTGACTGGAATGGAACCCATTCTAAGGGTGACATCCAGATACGGTTGATTCAACGGCAACCAATTATTCTTCAAGAAAATTTATAATAAATATATCTTGATCAATTTTTGATTATCAGTATCATGATATTTTTATACATTGATCAATTCGAGAAATTTTTCTCTAACTTAGAGTGTTGCATTGTCAGGCATTGACCGCGATATTATTGGTTTATTGGTTATTATCATACCCCATTTCTGACCATCAGATACGAGAAATAATTTTTTTGTAACAACACATTGTACAGTTGTACATTGTACATTCTGACCGTCGAACATGATTATCTACTGTGATATTGAGAAATTTTCATATAGACACGCGTATACTAAAGCAGTCCATTACATGAAGAAAATACATCATGGTCACAAGCACCAGCTTCTATACTCAAATATACATCTCAGTCGGAGCATTCGACACATATATACATGCACTTACAAGTTTTCATTCACTACAATACTATTGCGCGTGCGAATAATCTTAGATGTTTTACACATTATATGTTATACACATCACTATACACATATTGAATTCAGTTTTATTCCATGCAACTTTTTTTATAATCATAAGGTCTTGATTTTATAGGCCACTGTTGAAGTACATGTCATACTTGTTCAACTGTTTCTATTGTCATTCAATTGAAATGATGTGTTTATTCAATTTTTTAATTTTTAGCTTCATTATTTTTATAAATTGATTATTTTCAAAATTTGGATATACGATTGACCAAGATTTGATTGTTCCTACCGTACCCAATAAGAGCATTCATGAAGAGAATAGTTTATAAGGAAAGATCTCTAAATCGAAAATTCAAAAAATTATGAAATTTTGGAAATATATAGTGCTTATGCAGGTATGTATTATGTAATTTTTTGTTGTTGTCCAAAATCACTTTAAGAAATTGAAATTAATCCTTAAAAATTCAGCTAAAATTATTTGATTTTACTTATGAATTATAATTCGCAAATTATAAGAAATACAAAAAAATTTTTCAGACAAAAATTGTTTCTTTTCGTAAGAACTATCTAATAAAATATTTATTAATTATTTATACAAATAAAAAAAACAAAAAATTAATAATTTTTTTAAGTTTTTCAAAAGTTTTAATTAACAATCTAAATAACTACATGAAGATATAAAAAAACAAAATAACTACTTTTTTTTAAATAAATACAGCTTTATTATATTGTTGAATTTTCAAAAGTAGAGAAATTTTTATATTTCTTTCTTTTATTAAATATTAGATAAATATCAGATGAGAAAAAAAAAAGAAACCTATACATATAACTATTTTATAAAATCTAATAAATTTTTAATATATTATTTTAATGCAATTATCAATTTTCTTATTTTTTTATATATCAAATAATAAAGAGATTCAATAAAAAATTAGTGAATAACAATGAATAACATATAAATAACATGAATTATATTATTAATAATATTATAAATTATTCTTTATACTAATTTTCTTCAAAAAAATGTTGTAAATAGAAACTTGTTCATCCACATTATATTATATAATAGCATGATTAACGGATATGAAACAATAAAACAATGAATCAATGAAGCGACAAAATTGTGAAAAAAAATTCTTTTAAATTTTCAAAATTATTTGATTTCTCATTAATATATTCACTCTTATTATTATGTATAAATAATAATCGTAATTTATAATAAATTTAACTTTACTATATTATAATAATTTTAACTTTAAAAAAATAATTAACAAAATATTAACTTCGATTTTTTTTTTTACAAAAAGTTGATTATGAATAAGAAACTGTAATTTAATG